TGCGAGTCAAAGTTTCGGCAAGGATATAAGCAGTGCGCGTGGGAGCACAAATAATGGAAGGACTTTCACGTCGAGAGAACGAAAAACGCCGAAAGTTATGTTATGGAGCCGCGCGGCGGTCGTATGCTTTTCGGTGGAAATGTCTATAACTACAAATTTCCAACCTATAACTACAGATTGGGCGGAATAAGAAGTAGTACCTAGGCGGGTTAAAGATGACTAGATCTAAGATTTTATTTACATTTTTGCGCACGCTTCACTGCGCTCCTCTCGCGCTTCGTGTGCGAATTCACTTTTTTTCACTTCCAGCCTCACCCTTGCGCATGAATTCGTTTTATCTCCGCGTTTTCGCAAAAAGCACAGGTCGGGAATGTAAAAGCAAAAAAAATCTCCGGCGTAAAGCGCCCGAGAAAATGTTTGATTTCACGAGTGTGTATGCCTCATATGTGCTCTGCTACTTTGTGCGAACGCGCAAAAACAGATAGTTTATAGGTGCAAATTGCCAAACGTGAGCGCGTAGCAAGAGATGAAACGCGAAATAATAAACACAGGCACATTTCGCACCTTTTTCATAAACAAGCATCAAACAATATTTCATTTGATCTTAACTTTTTTCCATCGCGCCGCTTATTTTTTAATATTTCTGAATGTATAATTAAGTGGATAATAAAGGCGCGCGTGTATAAAACAAGTAAACTTTCCAGGGAGTTGCTAACGTCATTGCCTCGGCGAGAAAGTGAAGCTTGACGGGCAGAACGAGCTGGATAAAGGGACGCACCGAGAGAATTATCGGCTGAACGTCGTTCAATTATCTCCCTAAATTCCTTTTGATCTTAACTTGTTCTACAAAAGTCTTGATCGACGTTAAAGGCAAACCGCCTGGATTTTACACCCCTTCTTCATTTTTACCCACCCTAAATTTAATACTTCCTTAGAGCTTTTACTTTCATACAAAATTGACTAATGAGTAATTTCAACACGAATAAACACACCATAAATCGATCAATCTGCAACGCGCTATTCAAAAATACAATTTTTAAACGTTGAAAAATACCTACGACTACTCTTAAGATGATAAAATTCATTCCAAACAGATTTATGCGTGTTTTTCTTCTTATATTGCTGAAATATTTATTTCCCGACGTTTATATTTTCCTACTTATTCTTTCAATCTTTTTCCACATCGCTATAAAAAAAGCGTTCATTCCGTGTCGAGACTCGGAACAAACGCTCGAGAATAAACTTGCAATCGTTGGGTTGGGCTTCGGGGAAGAAGAAGAAGCGCTGCTCCTGGTGCTCTCTTCTGTTCTCTCCCTGGCGTGCGTTTGCATTCCGCGTTTCGCCCTCTGATTTTTTTCTCATTTCCAACACAAGAAGACTCGTTGCGCGTTGCAATTCGTGACGTCTCCGCCTGTGTCTCCGTCGACCTTTTTAATTATGAAATCGCGTGATGCGAGCGCTTCCAGGAAATAACGCGAGCGCCTCCGGAAACGGTGCGATACTTAAGATATTATAAAGTAAATTGAATTAAACTGTCGCGCAAAATGCACGCTCGCACGAAGGCTCGTAAATTCGTCGTCGAAAACCACTAAATGCTACTAGAAGCGAGAAGTAATTTTGTTGCAATCGTAAAAAAATTCAATTGGATCTCTGAATTTTTAAAACCCAAAGAATTTTTTTTAGATATTCAAATTTTTATTGCGATGTGGTGGTAATTACATTTTAAAGTTAACAACTTTTTTGCTTCTAATGGTATGCAAAGCAAGCCGGAAAACGCGATTAATTCAACCACGCAAACAACGTGTAAATTCAAATTCTAACGACAATGCCGATGCGAAGAGGGAGCGGAAATTCCGTTTTCGCGCACGGCGACACCTAACGCGCAAAGTGCGCCAAATCTTAATAACAATTAACCGCCTAAGCGCCGCCACCGCGGAATAATAATCAGCGATTGTTTGACAAGAGGGAGGAGTACACCCGACTCGGGTTGTAATTAAAATTTATTGAAAATATTTGCATTTCTGGTGTGAATAACTCGTTAAACTCGCAAATTTCATTTACAACTTCCTCTTCAAGCGGAAAACTTTGTTTTCAACACACACAAAGTATGTCAATTTTATCTCTAAGGTAGTGAAAAATCACTGATACACTTTGCGAAACTTTGGAGGAAGATACTAGGGCAAAGGTCGAGTGGATTCGATTCAAAAGGATTTGTAAGTTGCAAGACACGATGCAATTCGATGCAATTGCAACGGATTGAATCTCCCCACCAATGCAGTGCAGGTTAAAATGCACTGCGAAAATGTGAAAACTATCCGGACGTCTAGTCTAGTCTCTACACATCGCATTGCAACACATGTGTCTGCATTTTCTTGCAGCAATGAATGGACGACCTGATGATAGGAAATCCTAATGCTTCTTTTCGGCCAGAAATATTCCGTCCTTGTCTAGTGTTTCGCCTGGCGCATGATTTATTTACTTAACGAAATGAGTGAATGTTCACTGTATTGCACACTGCACACGTGTGAGTCGAAAACGACTGCTGACTACAATTCGAAGCGTGTGCAGACACGACGAAAGTTCAAGCCGCCGCGTGATTTATGCACATTTTATGTCAACATTTAGATGAAATCATGCCTGAATGGCGCGCGGGGGATTCCTCCGGCTTCATGCATTCATAATGCATATTCATTGAATCGGAACTTTTCCGACTGGAAAACTGTTTAAAATGTTAAAACTCTGCAAAACGCATGCAGAGCGCCCCGAAAAAAGGCTTGCTTATCTGGATTAGCTAAATTTAGGGATAATCCAACCGCCCAAATGAAAACTTTCTACCCGGATTTCGCAAACTGAAAATAAAAATAAAAGACCCGAATGAGTTGAACCGAGGCGTCAGTTGCTGATGATCATGATGTTGCCTGCTGCACGATGCCTTGGAAAATATTAGATTTTCCATTCGAGCGTTAAGCGAAACGGAGAGACGTCGTCCGTGGGTGTGCATTTCAGGTTTAAAAGCGCACAATTTGTTGTGTAAAACGTGCGAGAAATGATGCGCACGTGAACGGAATCACTATCGCTGCCTTAGCATGCGAATCCCGACGCAAAACCAAGGGTGAGAAATGCTCGTACCTGACTAGTGCGGTTCTAGTGGACGCGATAGATGTCTTTATTTTCACGTATTTTTCACCCGGGAGGAAAAACGTGAAAAACATGCAGCTAAACAAAATGTATGTACTACTACGGCATATAGGTACGACGACTGTGTGACAGCATGACGCATATTGACGAGATGCGCAAAACGTACGGGGAATAAGCCAAAGCACACTAATTGAACACTTTCCCAGCGTTAAGTGTCGACGCCGGCGTCGCGACACCCTCGTGCATATAACACCCTCACATTTCCTTCCTTTTTCTTCCTATGGATATACTTGACTACGTATTTTCAAAAAAATGCTTTTTTTATATTTTGCAATCAAAATTTGTGGTTGTTAAATATAACGGATGAGAAACATTAATCAAAGTAGAACAAAACCTAGATCCTTTATCAGACACGCGAACGAAATGAGTTTCGCGCTTGACTCTGGCAGTAAGTGCGTACCAATATCCGCAATTTCCTGCCCGGGGGGTGGCGTCGAAGGAGACAAAGCCCGCGTTCGCAATCGAAGCGCACTCGTCCATTTATTACACCTTTCACCTTTCATTCCCTCGACCCCTAGGGGGAGGAGAAGGCGAATAAAAAGCGATGTGACGAGATAACCTCGAATGAAATTTCATGCTCTAATGTAGTACATGCGTGCATCGCAACAGTAGAAGATAAAGAAGCATCAGCAACAATAAAAAAAAACTGAACTGTCGTCAGCGTTTTGCACATCGTGATCGCGCGTCGGAGTTGGAGATTCAATTAAACGCGTCGCACGCTTGCAAGTTAGCGCGTTAGCGAGCAAGTGGAGCGTCGCTAATCGCGATGAAAGCAAGCGATACCGGCGAAGCCTTTTGAGTGAAGCTCCCCGAAGCTGATCCTGATCCAGAAGCCGCGCGAACGTGTCCGCCGGTCGATTGAATGTCATTTAGTCCGCGCGGATGCGGCTAATGATTAGTCAATATCCGGTGCTTTTTTCTAATGAAATTTAGAAGCACAAAAAATTACCTGATGCAGTGTAATACTATGTAGTTCTATTTTCGGATACAGTTTACATCTATCGCATGTTGTTTGGTGGTTTCCAGCGAGTAAATATTTAAACACGCGTTTATTTTGATCGAGTCACGTGCACGTCTTGCCACCGAACAAGAAACATTAAGGTGCTCGGGAAAACTCAACAATTTTATTAGATTTTTTTTGTGTTGCTTGCAGCATAACATACGAAGCGCATCGATGTAATAATATTTCGAGCTTTCCTCGGCTGGCTTTCCGCTCGGATGCGATCGTAACTCGTTTATATTATCGGCCGGCGGGGATGGCGTCGTAGATGACGAGGCGATACGCTCGACGTACGTGCGGAATGACCCATCTAATCCTGCGGACGCTTTACTCCTTTTTACAATCGCCATTACCGATACTGACATGCTGCTTTTCGTGTGTAAGTGTTATGGTTATGGTGGTGGCGGGATGCGCGGAAATAGAAATAGTTTTGCGCTTTTTGCGCGTCGCGTTTCGCGCGCCATTGTCGAAAGATCGGCTTCTTCTTCTCGTGGAATTCCATTCGGATATTCTGTACACGTCCAATTTTGATAAATTGTTCTGGTACGTTTGTTCCGCGTCCGCGTTTGGCTTCAGAACCGCGCACAGCACAGCGAAGAGTTGAAAGGAAGAAATGTATTTTACGCTCGGCTTGATTTCGACTTTGTCCTGCTTGAGCGGCGCCAGAACTCGGTGGTGGATTCGTGCTCCTTGGATTTTTCCAACGTTTAAGCGGAAATAAAAATGCCACCGCAGTGACATTGTCTCTCAACACACAACAGTTACAGAAATGTTTTTAACCCTCATCCTTATTTTTTTCTAGGTAAATGGGACGGATGTGAGTAGTTTCCCGCACGAAGACGCGGTGCGCACTTTCCTCACCGCCGAGGAGCCGATCGTCGTCGAGGTAAAACGACGCGTCTCGCCTGATTTCCAACTTCCGGTTACCAAAACACCACCGACGTCACCGCAACCCTCGCCGGCGATCGACACTGACAATTTCATTTCGACCGGGGTGCAAACCGAAGCCGATCTGGTTTGGATCGACGACAACACTCTGGAGTGTTTTGGGCGCGACATCGATCTCGAGGTAGGTCCACGCTCGAAACCCATATACGTCATTGTCTAATGGCGAAGAACGGAAATAAATGAGTGCGTTCGATCCGAGTTTTGCGCTTTCCCCAGTGGGAAAATCCAACAAAACCGCGCGGAAAGCGAACGAAATAAAAACCAAAATACTATGAGGAAATAGAGGGTGTTCCAGGGTTTGAGTGAGAATGCGTAGCGCGGATGCGGCGCGTCACATCAGCCGCGAACCAATAACCGGCGTAAATGAAACGTGACAAATTAAGTTTCGGTCAACAGCAGGGGGTGTTGCGCGCCAAATTGAAATCGTTGACAGCGGAATATACCTCATGTTGGCAAGAATCAAATCGACTGCAAAAAAATAATATTTCTCAAAACAATGATATCTATTGTATAGCACCGGATGTGGTGGTTTTTTGACAGAAAATGTGAAAATTGCAAGCTGGGGAACAAATGCAACCAGTTTGATATGGCGCATCCCACCTGGGACCCGAATTGAAACACTGAAACACTCTGCGTCCCACACCATCCTCACGGGAGCGCAACCCGTCCGCTTCATTTCCGTGGTTTTCAAAATTCCAGACCGTCGATGATCTTTTTTTAAATTTTACACTACGCGTTCGATTTTTATTAATTCTACACGCTCAAAAGTTTTCTCCGGTTTCTGACGTTGATTTATCAATCACATTATGTGCGCAATCGGGAAAAAATGATTTACTCGAAATTTATGACGTTTTTCATGTTCAACCACCATCGGGAAGCTATTATTCCCGTACGCTCGCTGACCGACAGTTAATGCGTTCCCTGGTGCTGTCAAAGCAGCAAGCACGTCAAAGCGCACACAGGCGCGCGCGTTTGAGATTACAGATGGTCTCGGGGCGTGAAACGCGATCGGTCACTCGATATGCATAGGCGTCTGGCACCTATCAGCTTCATTAGAATATTAGCATTAATCCTAGTTTGCTCCCGGGGCTGCAATCTAGGCTGAGCGGTTTACACCATCCGGTCGCGTGTGTTTCATTACAATGTGCAATGTTATCGCAATATGGCATCGCAATCTCGGGAATGGCGCGCTCCTCTGATCGTGTTGTGAATGTCAACGAATGTCTTCCAGGAGACCGGACGAGATCAGGAGCGTTGCCCCGTGGGAAATCAAATCGTTATTGTATTGATACCGGATTGATATCACGTAGTAATAACTTTACGGAATCGTCAAAGACAAAAAAGTGCATTGTCCTAAGTTGAGATACCGGGTATCGAAAAATACCGGTATTTGAAACAAAAAAAAATACAGGTATACCGGTTTTAATACCGGTATTACCTCCAAAAATCATAAAAAATAAAATAATACTTAAAATACTTTATTTATTTATGTAGAAAAATGCTGTGGAATTTTGTTGTTTAAAACCTGAAACATAAAAGAGAAAAATGTTTATTTGAATAAAATCTCTCCGTGAGCTTTTGCAACAAACAAACCACCATTTCGAAATGCGCATCACGTCCACCAAATAATATTACTGGGGACGGCGTGTAGCGATTGTGTGCACGTGCCTATGCACCCATTGCAATCCGGGCGCGCGCGCGACGCGCATAACAACGTACTTAATTGATTTGCGATTTCCGGTCTATCTCGCAAATCAGCAAAAGCAGTCCACCCACCCGGTCCACCACTACCATAACCGAGATACTGCAATTACGTGACCGATTTCGCCATTCGCCGTCCGCCATCTTAATCGAATGTGTTTAACCCGATTGCTGTACTAATTAACGCACAGTGATAATTTGACCACTATGTTTACCATTTAGTAGAATATAAACTCAAAATCAAAATAACAAATTGAATTGTGACTTTTTTGATTTATGTCTTGTATCCGTTGACTCCTCGTTGTTGAAACCGAGCATGAACCGATGATGTTCAATATGCAGCGCAGGAACTTTCCCAATTTGCATGCGGAAACTTTTTAATAAGAAACGGCGCGCAGAAATAAAAAATACAATGTGATTTTCGGACTTGGATTGAACTTTTCAACGAGTACGATTTTAATTCTTTTGCTGTGTATGTAGGAAGTCACGCTGAGAAAATGCAGCAGTGATGAGAAGCTGGGACTCACTGTCTGCTACAGTTCTGGAAGTGAGATGGACACGTGTGCAGAGGTCTATATCAGGGATATTGCACCGCAAAGTGTCGCGGATAGAGATGGAAGACTTCAAAAAGGCGATCAAATATTACAAGTACGTAAAAATTAGAAAACTAATTGCATGATTAAATAATTAACGATTTAATCATTTTCAGGTGAATGGTAAAGATGTGGCCAATCGAGAAGAGACCGAATCACTCTTTGCGGAGAATCGCAAAGCTGTCACATTGTTAGTGAGCAGGTGCTATATGCGGGTAAGTTAAGCTGCTTTCATCTGTAAAGCCGATTTACTCAATTCTCTTACGCTGATGTTTTAGGGCGAAGACTACCTGGACGCCGAGGGTTTAATGGTGGAAACTTCACCCACAACCTGCAAGAGCGCCGCCTACCAAAACAGCATCATTGAGCAATTGGTGCAACAGCAGACGCAAACCCTGCCGGCACCACATGAAGTGCCCAAAACCGCAGAAGCGCCACGGAATCCCACCCACTCTATTCAGGAGAAGCTCATGCTGGCCAAATTCCAACTGACCAACTCTCTGGTGCGCTCCAAGCTGGATTCCATCAACCACGAGATCTCGGAGTTGAACCATCGCATGCAAAACATACAGCTGGTCAAAACGGGCGATCGGAATACGGACAAGCGAAAACCGCCACAATTACCGCACGTGCCAGCGCCGCTGGAGTCGGATACCGAGCACATCTACGAAACTATACCGGAGAGCGTAGATTCTGAGCTGGAGCCGATTTATTCCTGTCCGTATGAAGCGGGTGATGAGAATATTGTTGAGCAGTGGTTGAAAGCACAAACAGGCCCGAGCCTTTGGACTTGCTATGTGAATCCAAAGGCCAGTGAGACCCCAGCAAGTAAGACTTCCAGCAATAAAGAGAAAGAGAAAGAAAAGGCGAGTTTGCGAAGCAAATCGTCCAAGAGTAGCAGTGAGGAGCACGAAAATAGCTCCAGTGCTTATAACACCGGTGGTTCCTCAAACAGTAATCCGTTAACGTTTGAGTTGGCGTGCAGTGCGGACGCCAAGCAAAAGGACACGTATCGTTCCACATTGATATTATGCCCGCAGAATGAAGAGTGTGAGACTAAAACTACTGCGAATGCTAGTAGTGCGAGTGCAAACCCAAAGATGAAAACCAAAAACTCGAGTGGCGGATCGAAGACAAACAGTCCTTCATCGCCCACAACGAGGCCGATGCCCACGCATATGTTGTCCGATACCATGTACACGAACGTCGCCAATCTCGAACAGACAATTCTCTTGCAGCAGCAATTGTTCCGGCAGGCGTTGGGTCAAAGCGAAGCTGTGGGTAAACCCACGACGAGTTGCACGACGGAAAGTTTAAGTCAATATCAGTTTGTAAACGGACACAATCAACAAGTAAGTAACGTAAAATCATATAAAAATTGAAAAAAAAAAAACCCGCGGCCATTTTGAATTTATAGAATACACGGCATGAATCTTCAACACTCGATACTGGTATGGAATGGAAAGTAAAGCGACGTGCTGATGGGACACGATACATAGCACGGCGTCCCATTCGTAATCGTATCTTGCGGAATCGTGAATTGAAACTTTCTGAAGAACGTGCTGGATTAACAACTGAAGACGATACTATCTCGGAGTTAAAGGTGCGTTTTGTAGGTTATGTATGCACCACACAGATAGGCTACCGGTGGAGCTTTTAGCTGTCAAACATCAAACTGTCAAAATTCAAATATTTAAAATTTGAAAACGTATAATTCATATTTTTAACAGGTTGGACGTTATTGGACAAAAGAAGAACGTAAGAAGCACCTGGAAAAGTCTAAAGAACGCAAGCAACGTCAAGAAATCCTACTTGCATCACGTCACATAGAAGAAACGAGCGAAATTATACCTAAAGCTGGTACAATTGACAAGAATGCAGCCGCCTGCCCACTGAGCAAGAAAGTCGTGAATAACATGGACAATACCGTTAAGAGGCACAAGAGCAAACAAAAGCAGAAGGACTGCTATGAGAACTTCGCCACCGTGCAAGAACACCTTGCGAATAAGCCGCCAACCTTGCCGACGAGTCAAAGCAGCAAAATGATTGGCCTGCTTTCGGTCACCACGGTGTGAATGAATAGAAATAAGTTCGGTTCAGTTGAACGCGTTCAATATGTAAATCGTAAACCAAAAATTGTAAATTTAAAGTTTTTTAATGAGCACCTAACAGGCTTTGTTCAGATTAGTGCAGCGTGAAGACGCGAGGGCAAAACGTAAACTACATTTCACCATAGTAACCCAATATGTGATGTTTTTATTAAATTTAGTGTACATATCGTAAATAAATCTATATATTATCTTCCAAATGCTATACTATCTTTTACATATTATATATACCTAATATTCACCAGTAATTCACAATTTATACGGAATGAGAAGACTTAAAACTGACTAAAACTGAATACTATTATCATCACTATTTATGCATTTACTGCAAGAAATTAGACTCAAAACTCACATCAAATTGATTATTAGCGTATCTTATGATATAAATGTTAACAAATAAGTTTATTGTCAACGGTTGGTCGCAAGATACGCTGTGAAACTCAACTCACGGACAAACAAGAATTTAATCAGAAAAACACGTCCTAGCGCTACCTACGAGCGAATTATTGAACTAAATTTAAGTCATTTTGCTTTTAAAACTTTTAAAAGCATATTTAACTCATGTAAATCTACAGAGTTAAGAAATAATTACTAAAAAAACCCATTATCGAATCAAACAAGCAAAGAACTGCAGTTTATTAATTTTTATTCCTTCCTTGTTATCAAACGCTTTTACTATATATCAAATCTAATGAAAAACACTTCATTTAATAAACGTAGTGACTAGTGAGAATCTTCCACAATACAACTTAAATATGAAACTTTACAAGTTGTACCATAAAAAAGAACTGGGAACAGAAATAAACTATAATTACCTAGCCACCTAGCCCGCCTGCTTTGAACACCTTAATAAATTCGTCTTTAATTGGAATGTGACGCCTTGGAATTGAGTGTCTAGCGTCGAATGAGTCCGTGAGACCAAGCAAATAGTGTCATCACACCAACAGCGGTGAATCCAGCAGTTAGAAGTAAGAAAACTGATGCGCAATCATTATCTGATGGGTTTTCTTTTGCTAAAATATAAATTAAAATTAAGTTTCAAATAATAAGGTGTTAATAAATGATTTAACATACCAGGAACTTCTTTTAGTGGTGCATGTTTTGATAGAAAGTTTCTCACATACTCCGCAATATTATTGTTCGAGTTTACCACGTTCATGAACGTAGTATTAGGATATTGCAGCCTGAAAGCTGGTGCCAAGTGGCTGCAGATGTATAAATCTAATGTGGTCGGGTGGTCACCCAATAAATACTTCTTATTGGACAGCATTTGAGATAAGTCTTTGAAGTAGGCATCAAGTTCCAAATATTTCTATTGAAAACAATAACTTGATATATTTTTGATAGAAATATAAAGTAAATTAGCTTACTCTATCAATAAACACCTTCAAATCATCATCTCCAACAATCAGTTGAATTGTTTCAGTCATTTTCTTCTTCATATTCCTTGAGTAAAGAATCCCAAAAGGAAACCACATTCCCTGAGCATAAGTATTGGTAGATAAGGCAGTATTTTCCTCCACACCCCAATAATGCATCAAGGCAGCTGTAGCTAAGTATCGTTCAGCATGAGCAAAGTGTGCACTCAGTCTGGATAACTCCAACTTGGCATATTGTTGATTTATTTTGTTTCGTGTCTAAAATATTAAAATTTAATACAATTGATCTAAACAAAACAAAGCAACAAAACACTTACAATTCGCTCAATAATTTTACGAATTTGCTCGGGATGACTGTATGTTGTCCCATTCACATTCAGTTTGGGTAAATCTGCATTTGAATTCATGTGAGCCTTCCGAATTTCAATACTTGTACAGTTGTTGAGTTTAATATTCAACTGAAACAGATTCATAACATCAGTTACAATATTATATTTTACACAAACTAAAACAAGAAAATTTATTGTAGCAGATCCAGAAAATAACTCCTTTGTTATTTTTAGTCACAAATAATATTGTAGGCATGTTGTAACTTTAACCTTATCAAAAATGAAGAAAACTTACCAACATTTCCATCGAAAATGGGTCTGATGAAGGCAGTCCATTTGCACCGTCAATAACATAGAGTACCACTTTCGTATAACGGTCTATTTCGATATCCATTTTCGATTTTTATTTGATAATTTGTGAAAAACGTGACAATATTCAGCTGATTGCTTTGGATCACAACAAAATGTAACCTGTGAATGCCTGTGAAGTTCATTCTATAGATGTCAATATGGGGATTAAAATATTCTAGAAATTAAAGGTAAAACCATAATTATTCTCATAATTTATTATTTCTATATTGAATTATTTCGTATTGAATATATGATTCTATACAACTTATTTCCCGTTTAAACTGACTGAAAACACAAAATTATATTAAATTCTATTCCAGTTCACATATATGTATATAGATGGCGCAGCGTGTCTCAAAATTGAATATATTTCTATTTTGTTATTGTTTTCTTAATTTTAAACAATTAAACAACAGTACCTACTGTTTATATTTGATAAAACAGATTGATAATAAAGTTAAACACAATTTAAGTTTATTTTTACGCAAAAAAAAGTTCAGATATCGAACATTTTGTTAATATATTATCAAAACATCTTAATTATCAATAAATTGCCTATTATTATTATTATTATTACCTAAGCAAACAAAATTAACACAATCTATTCCTACGCGCAAATTGTGCATGTAACACATTTAATTTAGCTTTCCAGGTTGAATTTAATCATCTCATAATTAGAACTTTCCGGAATCACTCGAGCATAGTAAATGTTTCCGAGAAAACTTCTACTTTATTGTTCATAACAAACGATTAAATTAATCAGGCTTGTATATTACCGCCGACATCTTTCGGCATTCAATGGTACGCGTCTGTTATACTGATATCGATTAAATATTGACAAAACTAAAATGAAAAAGACGCAAAAATGAAAATAAAAGCACGAGCAAAGTAAAAATAAACAAAAAATGTCGAAACTATGTTAACTATCGAGAGGACTGCGACTACTAGTCGACGCATTGTGTAATCTAGGATCGAGTTTTTGCAATCGTTACCTAGTTTCAGTTTCCAGGGCTTCTACGAATGCAATAACAACAACAAAAAAGGAAAATAAATGAAAAAAGGACGAGAAAACTGAAATAGAAAAGCAAAGCACGCCAGAGCAAGGACAATACGAGGCAACAGTTCGTTTTCCATATTTTTCACAAGCAGGGTTACCAAAGGGCACAAAAATTAAAAAATTACAAAATAAAAGTTAAGATTTTTCAAAAATAAATTGAAAAAAAGTAAATTTTTGAAGATTGCAAATAAAATTGTTAATTAAACATGAATTTCTTAAATGTTTGAATAAAATTCTTGCGTTTGATAACCCTATTGTATGAATACACATTCGAAATCGCAAAATTCTACATAATACATATACAAAGTGTACCAAGAAGTGCATAATTCAGTAAAATTACGAGCTTTGCATCAGACTGTTGGTATTTTGTTGATTTCACAACTCTTTAAACACACCATTGCGCGATGTTAGCGTAAAATCGCGAAATCAGCGCCGACGTCCCGGCGATATTGCGAAAAGGCACCACCGGCACCAAACGAAGAACTCGTTCGTAAGTTTATATTATTAAAGTTTGCCCGAATGTACTCGCGGACGGCGCACAATATGGAAAAACGTCCCGGGAGTTAAAGATCGCCTATAAATAATAAATTGCTTATTGCGGCAACGGCGCACAACACACGCAGGCACGGGTTTTCATTTTTCGCATGCGGAACAACTAAAAAAGAACTCGGGAGCGCATGAGAGAGGAAGAAGCGCACGGAAAAGTTTCGACAACGAACTAACTTTCAAATAGTCGGATAGACGCAACTACAACTTGTGAAGTAAAGTAAACCAGAAGCTAACAAAACTGCTGAAGAGAAAAGAAGCATACATAAAATATAATCATTAAAATATTGAAGAAGAGTAGGGAATTATCCAATTATTGGTTTTAAAATTAGGGAATTTGCTTTCAATGGGAGATTTGAGCGAAATTTTGGTATTGATTTAGGATTACACGATTAGAATCTGTTCAACTGTATCATATCCTCAAACATGTGACTAAATTATCGTCAAAATGTTAGAATCAAAGCAATATTATTCAAGGATTCTGTGCTACTAATAATACTCCAATAAAAATGACTGAAAAGTAAAAAAAAAAAGAAATATTTAACAAAACGACTTACAATTGCCAAAATATTACAAGTATCTTCAAATTATCATTAAAATATGTTGCGCAATTAGTTTCTCTTCATTTTAGTATCTTTTCCAGAGCTGTGCATAAAATATTTTCGGAAATATTGATGTTTTCTTGAAAACAAGCTAAAACTATTGAAAAACATGTTTTTCCATCGTAATTTGAGTTTCTTTTAGAATTCTCTCTAGAAAACATAAAAATTCCAACAATTTCCTTGCGTTTTTATAATTTTAAAATATTTTTGTTAATAATTTTAGTAAAAAAAACTAAAATTTTAACATTTATATAACATTATACTCCTGTAATTCTCAAGTAAACTAAAAGCAAAATAAATTACGATGCACCAAAGGTAAAAGCAACAACCTGCTGAGGAAATGCCAACAATAAAACAAGCAAAACCCCCCGTAAAAAGTATGTTCCCAGCAATGTGCACATGGAAATGAGTTCAACGGTTGCATCTGCACTCTCAAACCTCCATGCAGCACAAAAGTGCAACTTGTGAAACAGTTACAGGTCACAACTTGTTCGCAAAGAGTGATGTTGCAAGTTGCAACTTTATGCCCTAAATTTTCCCTCAAAATAAAAACGAAACTATATTTAGCCGCTCTTTGAGGAAACACAAACATATTATGTTAAAAACATGAAAAAAATACGCGAAACTAAGAGAAAAACTAGCAAAACAAAAACATTATCACGAAAAGAACACGGAAAAAAATCCGCCTGGAACAAAACACGTTCGGTTTTGTTGTGCTTTCAGATGTCTTGGCTTTTCAGCGCAGCTTTACAGCTTGACAAGTCCTTTTATAAGGTCCTAGGCGTCCTTTTAGTCCGTCTTTAGCGACGTCTTGAATCAAGCTCTCGCGAAAATTCGTTTGCGTCCATTAGTGATACTCAAAAGAAGCGCAAAAAAACTATAAAGCAAACCAACACAGCTGAAATTTTGTTTGCAGAGGGTGGAAACATCAAACGTGCAAACGGGATGAGGTGAAACAGTCACCAGAGGACATCCTAGTCGTACGAGATATATATTTAGACGGAGAGAAATAAGGGATGTGAGGATATCGCATTGCATTGCATTACGTGTCTGTCGCTCACACACAATCAACCCCTCTACATATGCTCAGTGTTCGCCCACTCAACACTCACTGTTTCATTGTGAAGATAGCAAGTGTGCATTAATAACAGTGTCGTGCATCACCTCGCACAGCACGTCCTGCGTGATGCGTCTGGGGGTGTCCTCCAGCTGGTTTGATGGTCGATGGCTATCTCCCTCCCCAACCACATCACCGAGTGGTAAGTTTGCATATCGCCGACGTGCACAACCCTCCTTCTGTTTTAGGTAAAGCTTTAGTCACGTCTGTGTCCTATTCCTGGGTGGCGTTCTATCGCATTGTATTTCTATTCCACTTTATGCAATTCCCTTTTGACCGCTCGCGTGTGTTCGGTGTAAATTGCGCTGCGATGTGAGATATTGCACTGAAATGTGCAACGATTCCGGCGCGCACAGGCGCAATTTATTTCAAAAATGACATTTGCTTGATTTTCATATTGAATTTCTCGAGGATAACACCTTTCAGCGCGCTCAAGGCAATAAATCACACGAAAAAAAAACTTTAAATTTGTATTAGAATAAGAAAATATTGAAAAAATATCAATTTTTCGGCATTGTTAAAAATCCACACAATCTACAATGAGCTTGTGGCTGCTTCACGCTTGAATGCATCGTCCAGTCTACGACAATAAGTCCTGGCTCCTGAGACGGCACCCACACCGTCACGGGTTCATTTGTCTTCGACTTCGTTACGTTGCGTCTTCGTGTTGTGCTTCTCGCGCGTTTTATTCGCCCGAAATCCGTGCCCAACATACAGAAAACACCACATATACAAAGTGTACCCGAAATATCACTAAATATATAAAATATTCAACATTTTAAAATTTTAACAAATAAAATTTAATAAAACTATAGAGAAATTTTGTAAATTTTTTATTTTTTTATTGTTTCAAACATTTTTTACTACGTATCGAGTGAAAATGTTGCTCTCACTGATACCCGAGTGAAGGACTAGCGGGAGGACGAGTCGAAACTGGAACCCGCATAATGCAATCTTCGCCGAGTATCCCGAGCAGCATCCCTGGCGAAATTGGAAGTGCAGCGACAGCGCTTTGTTTCCCCGGTGGTACGTCTCGGTTTCTCCGGCGAAAGGACTCCAACGCGGGCGTATACAAAGCGCAAAATGAGTTATTTTCTCGCCGCGCGGCGCACTATTCTTCTACAGTCTTCAGTCGTTTGCGAGTTGCCTCCACCCTCCGACGCAACCGACGACTACTGTTGAGGGCTTGTTCATAATTCCGCAAGGCTGCACTCGTGCGACGCATACGAAAAGAGGCTAGGCCTCTTACGCGCGTAATTGATAATTGTATTTACTCCACATTAAGCATAATGGACGTAATAGAATTTCGTAATTGTTAATTCCCACTCTTCCGCTGGGCGCGCGGCAAAGAAAAATCCCTCGCGGCGTTCGTATTGCGCTGCAGCAACTCAAAAAGCAGGTTATTTTTTCCCCGTTCCGGAGCGTGCACGTTCTCTATATTAAACTAAAGTTCGTTTGGTGGTGCCTGGCTCGCCGAAAATCCCCCGGGGATTTCATTTCAATCGTGATACGCTTAAACAACGCGCGCGCCGCGCGCCGGACAAAAAATACCACCCGCGATATTTAACTTCAACTCTTCCGCAGTCGCAGTCGCAGTCAGAGTCGCGATGAGGCAACGCCACGAAAAAATCTCAAAACCAACCCGACCACGAAAATACTACACGGACGTCACGGATGAAAAACGGACAGGACACGCGGACGAAGCAGGACAACAAGATGGAAAAAATTGCCTCGCCGGACGAAAAATTCCGACGGTTAGTCATCCCTTTTGAAAACCCTCAGCGATTTCAACAATTTCGCCTTCAGACGTTTCGTTCATTAGTCCGAGAGCAGCTCCTTTTATT